ATTCGGGGTGCGACCAGAGTCACAGAACGAATTAAGTTCGTAAACCAAGGTTCCACTGTACTTAGCAAAAGTGGTTTGTTTTTTTTAAGAGGCATCCATTTAATAATTCCCCCGTTAAAACCATTAAAATTATACCAGAATTAACTTATCCACTATGAAAATTGTAACTATTTTACTTATAATTTCTGCAATTCCTCTACACAGGAAGTCTGTGTACATTCTACAAGCAGAAATCTGATCATGTGGCATGGGATATAATTCATGTTACCCTTTTGGATCCAAAACTTCATGCATGCAACCAGTTACAAGCAGTCAAATGTACTGAAACGTCCACTTAAAATGCAGTCTAAGTAAAGATACTCACTTCAACAGTAACTCAGTATGATGAAGCAAGCTCTTATGAAATTCACAAAATAGATCAGTCACCCTACTTGTTTTTTTAGCTCTCATTATTTGACTTCATGTCTCAGCAGGTGGCAGCCCTTACCCAACATTGTCTGAGCCCAGAAGCAAGCAGGATCAGGCCTGATTCATTCAGGGATAAGAAACTATCAGGAAACATCAAGGCTGTAGAGTAGACCAGAATTCCAGTAGCAAACTACTTCCATACTATTGCTAAGAGTATGTCTACAAAATCAACAGGAGCTGGGTGCAACTTGAAGGAGACTTGACTTATTTAACTTCATGTTTCAAACAATTCAAAAATGCTTATAATTGTATAAGTACATGTCCTGGGAACTGTAAATACTAAAAGCAATAATTATACCAGCTGAGATGTTACTTGATACCATCTGAACTAAATACAGGGTTAGGCACCCACAGTGGAACATAAGTCTAACAATCCTATAACTTTCCTTCATTTATTAACACCAATTTCAAAGAACATAAGTAGTTAATTAAACTGCCTCAAGCCCAAGTGGTACAGAAAAGCAACTTAGAAAATAATATAAATCAGAGCTAAGTATGAAAAATAATTGAATTGATACTATTCTAATGAGAGAATATAGCATTTAACAACTCAGATGTTTGGTCTTAAGCCTCTGTTAATCTATTAACTTTTTAGATAAAATGTCAGGTGTAAACTCACTTAACACTTAAGTATTATAACATGTGCCTGCAATGTAAGAAAATAAATACAGCGAAATCTCATTTAACAAACCATTTGAAGAGGAGATACCTGTTAGTCCCAAACCTCCAATACAAAGGTATGGCACTGCATGACATTAATGACATAATTGGGGCAATGATATAAATACAGGTGTCAAAAAATTAAGATATAATACAGATGTTGCAAAATGAAAGTAAAACCCATGTAAAATTAACTGTATCATGTAGACTACTTCAGATGCAACTGATTTGTTCATAATTTTGTGGGGTAGGGGTAGCCCAAGGGGAAATTTGGTCCATGGCATCCAAACACAGCTAAATGGGGTCTATAAAATGAAATATTCATTGTAATAGAAATCTGAATTAAAGATTCTCCAAATTTATGTTTGTTACCATTACAGCATCTGCCTCCATTTCTTATCCAATATGACTTACTTTCAAGGAAGATGAAGATAACTAATTATGGTTTAGTGAATAAAGCTCAATCTGCTGGAATTACAAACCACAACTAAATTCATATCACAAGTTAAACTAAAATGTAATTTGTTGGATTTCGGCTTAGTTTAGTGTGTGATCCTAGCCTAGATGTCTATAACCTGATTGTATCAAGCACATATTTCCTATACTATGAGGAAGAATAAAAAATTACAGGAAAATGAGGTATAAATTCAGATGGACTGGCAAGAACAAAATTATTTGACCATAACTTGTTATATCACTGCATATAACATTAAAGAGTAAACTCTTCATAGGTTGGTTTTTAATAACTGCAATACAGGATTCTTCTTTGCATGAGATAATCATTTGTGATTCTCTTCACACTATCTAATACATCTGAATTTAACAAAGGATTAGCCAGATTCTACTCTTGAAACTGCTCCCATTCCTTGCCAAACAAGAACTGTTTTCTTTGCTTTGCTATCACCCTCAGAAAGGTATATCTTTTTCCAAACCACTTCCTGCTCAGCCTGAAGGACTCTGAACTGCTACAGAATCACATGGTTGCTCTTTGTGTAGGCAATGATTGTCAGAAAAAGAGCACATTCTTCAGCTGGAATTTTAGACCTTTTGGGGACATAAGCAGTGGGACATGGTGGCACAACTCTGCATTAGATAGGACTGAAGGAGGAAGAGGGGCCACCAAACCAATGTACCATTCTCCCAGAGTTACCCAAACCACACTCAGCCAGTTTATAACAAGGAGCAAGTTCACAGAGGTCATACAAAACACCAGAGCAGAGTTCACAAGATACAGCTTATCGTTTCAAAGAGGCAGAAGAAAGGGTTTCTTTCCCATTCAGGAACCCCACCTTCAACACAGTCTGCTCATCCAGAATGTGTGTACAGGGCAAGCCAGCCTCCTATAGGCTTTATTACCCAATTTCCATTTCATGCAGATACCCAGGACTTACACAGGCCTGGCAATTAGAATCATAATGTTGGTGTCTTGGAATTTTAACTGCCCTTTTAAACCTTGCCAAGAGAGGTAAGGCATATGGAACAGTACAGTACAAGTAATGGGAGTGGTCAAAGTACACAGTACTTGCTTATCTGTATCACAAGTTTAGTAGCACATGCAAGTGTAGTTGGGTAAATATCTACAACAATAGGCATGTCTTTAAAGACTCAAAGTGATTAAGTTATGACTCATTTCAGCTAAGTTACTCTGAAAACCAGCTAAAATGCAACCTCAAGGTCTTCAACACCTAATTTCCATTTATCCCAAATCAAAAAATTATTCAGGAAGAAAATGCAATACCACATAAATTATCAGAAGGAACCAAAAAAAAAAAACCTTTTAAGAAAAGCTGCAAGTTTCCACCTCCAAACAGAGAAACTAATACTAGTTAGAACTAACTAGTTCCTTCATATAGGCCTGAATTTCTGAAAGGAAGAACAAGGATTGCTGAACTCAGAGGGTCTTTTGAAAAATTATTTCAATTACTGTATTTTTAAGTTCATGCTAAAAAAAATGGATGTGTTTACTGTAAAACATCTGCAAACCAGGATGTTGTACAGGATCTGTAAGTGACCTTTTTAAAATTTTACACTGTTTATCTGTAAGGGGATATTAACTTGGGTATTTGGACCTTAGGTATAAGCCTCCTTGAACTTCAATTCACTGGACCTTACTCCTTAAACTGTTAATCTTCTCTGAAGTAAGGGCCCACAAAATCTACATAATACTTATTGCAGATGGCATTTACCTCTAAATGCTTAGGAACCCCTACCTCATACATAAAAACTGTATGGCAGGACTATTCCTCTCGGCCAGCACGTCCCTCTCAAAACTAATGGAGACATCTGGTTGAGAACGACTTTTCACATCCCTTTTCGAAGTATGAACTTCCTTTCAAAATAAACACGCGGAACCTTTCTGGGTCTCTCTTGCGGGATTAGAGTAACATCGACACCTTTGCAAGTTGTTTGCTGGCGAGTCCTCGACCTGCTCCTCGCAGCTGCCAGCGGGGAGGAAGAGAAAGCCCATCCTCCAAAACACTCAGGTAACTCAAGCAGAAGCAGCGACAGGTGTTTCCGTCGTCCCTTCCACCAGGAACAGCGCCCCACCGGGTCTCCACCCTTCCCCGCGCACACGTGTCCTTCCGTGGGGTGGGGGGCCGCGTGCACCCTCACCTGAGCGCTTCGGAAGCCTGTATCCCGAGCCACGACAGAGTTAAAGAAGAGGACGGGAAAACGAGGTGAGGCTGGGCGCTCCATTTTGGCGGCAACAAAACCCGAGTGTACTTACAGCCATAGCGGGGTCTCTGCAAGGCCGGCTCCTCATAATGCATTCTCCTCTGTGCAGCTGGGAGTCGCGTCCAAGCGGCAACAAACTTCGCGAAATCGCCGCCCCCGTAATTCTCCTTCCCGGAGGAGCACCGCCGCAATCTCTAACCGTCCTGTGGCCGCTGCCGCTCTCCCAAATGCGCGAACACACTCACGGCAGGGGGAGTTGCCTGTTCCTGGCTTCTTCCGCAACAGCCCCAAGGCGGTCTTGCTCGTAGTAGCCGCTCTCGCACTCCCTGCCGACGGAGCCGGAGGCGCGCGCGTCTCTCCGCCGCGCGCAGAAGAACTTCGGGGCTGCTCCTGCGCCTCCCCCGCGGCCTCCCGCTGCTCGACTCGCTCCCCCGCCCTTTTACCTGTCCTCGCGAGCTGCGCCTTCCCAGGCCGCGCAACGGCAGCGGGCTCCCGCGCGCGCTCGGCTCTTTGCTGAGGGGAGCCCCCGAAGCGAACTCTTCCTCCACCCCCAGCTCGGCGTCTTCACTCTTTCTCTCCCCAGCCCCGTTATTCATCGGGGAGGGGGGCGGCGGCTGACGCTGCTCCACAGCGACCTCTGCTGCCCGCAACGGCGAGGCGAGCGGATGGTCGAGCCCCTTCCTCTCCTCCGCTCGTAATCTGCATATGCGATCGCAGGAGATCTCGGGAGCTCTCGGTTTTCTGACTTCCCTTCCCTCGCCTCAGCTCGGCGGCGTGGCTTCTAAGGTTTGCATGCCGAATAACATAGGGACACAAGGAAACAAAATAATCAGGGTGTTTCATCCTATTTCTGTTGCAGGCAGTTGCTCGGGTACAGAGAAAAACTCCTTTCCGGGTAACAGTTTCACCGGTTGACACCTTTCATAATCTGAAATTATTCACTGCCCCCCCCCCCGTAAGAAGCATTTGTTCACATAATTTGCATTGTGGCAGGTATAAATCCACTATAGCAGTTCAGGAATGACGTAAGTGTTCCTAAACATGCACAGATAACCCTTCATTTTTGAGCTCATCCCCACGAATGAAAACGTGAGGCTCCAACCTGGTGCCCTCCAAATGCATTCGGTGCCATTGAGTTGGGGTAATACAGACAAATGCTCACCATTCTTGACATGCCTCTGATCACAATCACAGCTCTGCAAGAATGTTCCAGTGATACATTTGATAACATTCATCCACCTCATCTGTGGTCTTCCCTTTCTTCTGCTTTTCTCAGCTAAGTCAAGCATAGTCACCTCTTCTAGTCCACCATCCATTCATCCACCCACCCACAGGCCATATGTTATACCAATTTCCATAACCTCTTGCTTACTTGACCATTAACCATGTATTTAGGGATGATGGAAAATTAAACCCAATACATCTGGAAGATATCAAATCAGTGCCTGGGAGTAAATACTACAAAAGTCAACATTACTTATTTTTGAGTAGATGTATTTGATGCAGACTGCAAAGTGATAGTCCAAAAACAGAAAGTAATTTAGAAACCAGAAGGTATGGTTTTCAAAACCCTTCTGCCATGGTTTTATATTATTAATTAAATTATTATATTAATTACTTTTAGAAATTAAGCCATGGATACAATAATACCTGCTTTCAGTTTTGAGAAAATACGAATGTATGGTCCTGCATGTGGAACAATTGATCTATAGTTAGAATGATGTATCGGACAATTAGCTATTTGAAAGGCTAGGAAATCCAGCTGTTCAGCATGATCCCACTGTTCTAAAGAATCCAGACTATTTTCTGTTTCTTGTTTGGCATTGGACTCTATGACTTAGCTCACACATCATGCTAATCATCTCTGATTTCTTAAGTGTAGATGAAAGAATAAACCATAATTGGCTGATTCAATGTTTCAAAAATATTAGGTAAAATAAAGAGTACATTATTGATTGCCATGGTTTGGCCCTCATAGAACCTTAAAATTTTTCATTCTGTTAGTGTTAAATAGCTAGTGAATTATAATGAATAATCAAAATAAATTGAGATTATGTTATACCACAAGGGAGCAGCCCAGTTTATTGTTACACTGAACAGAACCATGAAGTAATGGTGGTTGTTTCAGGTTTGCAGCTTTAGACTAGCCATAGACCTTGTTAGAAAGAGTCATCTAGGGAGGTAAGATCAAGGTGCGCATATTCTTGTTAACCAGGTAAATGAGCTTTGCCTATCATCTGAACAGAATATTTTATCACTATTTCAATAAAGTTATTGACATCTGCCTTCTCAAAGTAAATCTTTCAATAACTTTTGCAAACGATTACTCAAGAAGTATTCAGCTGGGAGGAGTTGAATCATCACTCCAAGAATAGAATTATAAGAAAAATATATTTGGAAACAAGAAAAAACAAAACAGAACAAAACAAAATAGGCATGACATTCACATGATTTATATATTCAAAGTGCTTGATAGTGTGACTGCGCCTATTGACTCCAGAACATAGTTAAAATCTGAACACAAGATACATGTGATTAGCTATAACCATTGAAAGCATACATAAGCAAGCCATGACTACTTTCTGTGGTCTGGACTGGAACCATAATCTTAACTTTAAACAAACCACAGTTTGGGTGTTTGCTGCTTGGAGGGAGGATCTTCAATACAGCTTTTCGAAATATTTCAGCATACACCCAATTTCTTTTGAATGCAATACACATCTGAAGACAATATATTGTTATATATATTTTTGCAGCCCAACAACAGACAGATTTCAGTAAAAGATCAAATATTTCTTGCAGAACAGCATAGAACATAAGATGATCTTTAATCATGCCCATTCACATATGATTTTGACAGATAAGATTTTTGAACTTCCATCTGCACTGCTGTGGGTTGAACTAGTTGCATGCATGCTACATGCATGGATGTATCTAAATTAGTCATACAAGAATAGAACCTATGATAAACTCAACAATTGATGGTATAGTTCTCTGTTACAATGGAAGGTGTTCCACGCAGTAGAGGAGAAGGTTATTCAATATTGTAGGGTTTTTTGCCAGTCTTGCTCCTTCCATATATGTTGAGGCTGTAATTCCTAGAATTCTCTGCCATTATGCTGCTTTGAGGATTCTGGAAGCTGCAGTCCTTAACATTCTTTGGGTGGAAATCCAAATTTTTTCAACAGTTTGATCTGCAGTTTGTTCTTTGTTCTGATCCTCTTAAGTCAATATAAACAAATATGTAAAATCACATTTGGTAGAATGTCTGAATAAGCTTCAAATATTACAATATAATGGGAGTGTCCAACAGACTTTTACAATTACAATATAATTTTGAGTCCAACAGACTTTCTTTCCACTGCCAGCCTACTGGAAAATTCCATAAGAATTTTCCTGTACATACATGCTTTAATTTATTAAAATCCATGCATATAAGTAATGTCTGCCCCTTCTCCATCTGTATTTTTAAAAATCTTTACACATAGTTTTTGTACGTTACCACTGAAGAAACTTTTCAAAGTAGAATGATCATACTTCCTCTCATTTTGTCAGAAACATTATGAAACACCAAAAGAGGAACTGAAAATATATTTGAAAACAAAAATACAACCCAAAACACATATTATTTAAACAGAATTCTAAAATCCAAGATGTCAGAGATTTTGCATTTAGAAGCTACTCCTGGTTCAAGTTGTTAAGTAATTTAAATAAGAGTGAAGCAAATGATAAAGTTGAATAGAAAAGCTTGTTGCTGACATAACTATATAAATGTTACTGTTGCTGTTACAATATACTTGTTTTATTGGTGAATCATGTGCTAAAATAGGTGCATTTGGATTTAAGAAATCTCTTTAACCTTTTAAAATAAATGTCTTCAAATTATATGAAATGAGTATGTTTCTGCATAGAAACAGTGACTCGTTACTGAAAAATTATTTATTTGCAAAGGGATCAGACAGTTATTTCTTGGGAGTGGCTCTTTTATCCTGTGACACAATGGGAAGATTAACTTAATGATGGCCTTCAGATATCAGAAATAATATTTAGATGGTTTTTGTCAAACATGATTAAATCTAAGATTCAAAAGTAGAGAACTGGATTGTTTTTGCTATACAGATATTTATACAGACTAATTACTGTGTGTGTTTTCCGATTTATTTATAGCTAAAGGGGCATGTTTATGGTACACTTACTAGAGTAGATAGTGGTTTGTTCAAAGCACTATAGTTAAATAAGCCATAGTTCAGCATGATCTGTAATTAAATCAGTCAATGTCTATAATGCTGAAATTTCTTTTTACTCATTAAATAAACTGAAGAGCAACTTAAAATCCTCATTTAAAATCATAGCTGGTCAAATAGTAAGTTTTATTATTTATTTATTTATTTATTTGTGTGGTTTCCCCTCTTGAGAAGATCAAGTTTAGAAATTTGATGGTTTCATCCACAAGGCTGATCTCTATTTCTATGATGCACCTTCAATAGAAAGGCTTTTCAGAATATAATAAATGGACATGAGCATTGAAAGGTGGCATTATTTCATGTGACTCATTTCACATTTTCTCACCCACATTCAAATTGCTATATTAAATTGCTCTAATTGAAGTGTATATTAATCTGCCTGTGCAAGGAAGGAGAGAGCTCTGCTTCTGTTCCCTGATCCCCTTGTGAGGCAGGTTAATGGGCAAAGAATTTGAACAACCTGGTGGCCTTGCTACTATTTGCCCTTCTTATTCTAAAGAATCTTTAGAATGATTGATTAACCAATTTGATTTACACACCACATTCAAGAGCTCAAGGCAGCTACACAGCATTTGCTCCTCCTATTATTTTTTTCTTCACAAGAACAGCCCAGGCTGAGCTGAGAGAGTTAGTGGCCCAAAGTCACCCAGTGAGCTGCCGTGGCTGAGAGAAAGCCGGAGCCTGGGTCTCGCCATTCCTGTCCAACTTCTTAAACCCTCCACCCTACTGGCTCTCAATCATTAGAACATTAATAGTGCCTGAGAGTTTAAGAATGAATCTTGCTCTCTATCTCCTCTTACATGAATCAACAATCTCGAGCAAAAAAATATTGAAATATCTTCTTACAGTCTGAAGTACAATTCAAATAACTTTTTATTCCAGATAATTGGATGCTTGTCAAATGGGATATCTGGTATCTTAAAGCATGACATAACAAAAGAAAATAGCTTCCATGCATTATAGAGGGGGACTAGGCAGAAAGGATTGATAAACCATGGATTATGACTTTATGTTATAACTTAGAGTTAGTTAGTAACAACTGATCACACTAAGCCAAAAATAAACAAAATCTGTCCTGTTTTATATTTTGGAAGCTGCCTTATGGATATTTGGCTTTAAAATATGCTATGAAAACATTTTGAGTAAAATAATCTGACTCAACTTTAGAAACACCCAAAGGAAAAAATAGTTGTGTTATGACAGTCTTAAAAGTTTGGCTTGAAAGAAATCTTAATATTCTTAGACATTCATTTATAAATCAAGCATGGAATTCTATGGCGCATACCCAATCAACATATTACACAGTTTTACATGCTGATATCACTAGACATAGCTGCTGCTGCTTGACCTCCACCAACCCACCCTTTGCTTGATCTTTTAACTAAATCCTTCCTTTTTGAACTTTTGGAACAGTACTAAAGTTGGTGTCAGTGGTACATAAATATTTGAAACAACAAATACAACTCCTCTTGCATATATAAAACCAGAAATAAAATCAGTAAACTATTCCAGAGCTATCAGATCATCAGACAGGTTCTTCTTGTAAAATTCAAATTGTCTATTTAATTTAAAGCCTCTTTCTAATCTGTTCCTCAATCTATTTCACATTCATTCAATTACCAGATTTATCCACTATCTTCTGTACTTCATAGCTGGTGCATTATCTTGCGATAATACCACCACAAGCCTACCTGCCTTTAGCCCTGTGTTCCCTCTATATTTTCCATCTATTAACTTTGTCTCCTCACAACCTTCAAACTTTTCCTATCCCAATTAATGTATTCTGTTATCACTAATACAAATAAAAACATACTGGAAAAGCACTCAGTGGCAATTAACAAAACCAAAGACCTCATAAGTTCTGGCTCCCAACCTATTGTGGAATAAAACTGGGGCTGAAAGCTGGACCTGATTTATACCTAGCATCAAACCATGGTTTCTAATAATCCTTGGTTTAATGTTTCAGTTCACATTATTTCATGCCTTATATCATGGTTTATACACACAATGGTTTATAAATCCAAATAAAACACATTATGGAACAGGGCAATATGTAACCCCCACCAGTGAATGGTTACAAGTAGGCTATGCTATAAGGAGTAGGGCTATTAGATATGGACTGCAATCTTCTGAATGGCCACTAGATGGCAGTTATGAGGTAGAGTTCTATGTATCTCTTTGCTGCCACCTTTTTGCAAACCAAAATAGAATTTAATTTTAATCCTGGGGGTGGCTGGCGCCCTGATGTTACTCCTGAGTTATTCACCAATTCCATCATTCTTGGAATTTATTATTTTTAAGGTTGTTTTATACTGTATTTTAATTGATTTTATCTCCTTTGTAAACTGCCAGAGTCACTTTCAACGAGATGGGCAGTGACAAATTTGGTATATAAATAAAAATAAATAAATCTGGTAATCCTAGTAAACTAGGCAGCACAATGTGTGAGACTGTAGAATTGCTTACATGTTACAAGTAGGACATATGGATTATGAGTATATTAGGACTTTGTTAGCTGGACATATGTAAGTATTGCAAAAAAAAAAAAAAAAAAGTGTTTCTATTCTTTGGTGCAGGGGACAATAAAACCTGGAGTGAAACAGACCCAGTGTGTAAGGGAAAAAGTAGCAGAAACTTTGGGTGAAAATATGGAGATTTTTGAGCCATCTGGATTCTTTATCAAGCCACAGCATAGAGTCAACTAAATGCACTTGTAGGTCTAAGAGCAAAAACATGCTGGAAAAATGGCTGCCCTATACTTTTGAATTCAGGCTGCCCCTGAGATCTTCTTGAGTCACTTTATGATCAGGGAAAATTCATTCAGCCCATGTGTAGGAGGCCACAGGGAATAAAAAAAATGTATTTTGCTTAATAAAAGTTTCAGCGGTGTCTTCTCCATTTCATCCATTCTTAATAAGCAGGAAATTTCATCATGAAGGTGAAGAAATGAATTAAGTCAGTGAATTAAGTTATGAACACTATGTTAGAGCAGAATGGTTAAAATCAGTCCATACTGAAATTTGCAAAATCCTAATTCTTTGAGCATACTAAATGTATATCTATTCCATTCCATCTCTCCCCAAGAGTGAGTGACACCATTCATGGTGATTCTGTTATTTAAGATTCTGCTATTTAAGGTGAAAAGGGGGAAGCAAAAGAGGGAGATACTCTAGGGACAGTTTTGCCAATGCCACACTTCCTTTGCAGTACCGCCAACAGATAGAAAAGAAAATTGACAAACATCTATTCCCACTCCCCAGTGAAGGGAACAGCCTGGTCAAGATTCTAACAGGAACAGAAGGAAAGGAAGCATGCATTAAACCTGAGACAGCAAATCCTTTTGTAGTCAAGAACTGTGCTCTTCTTTAAAAACACTAATATTTTATTTTATTGTACTTTTCTGAGAACTGCAGGCAGTGTGAAAGTATCACTTGAGAGACAGGGAGTGGAGTGTTCAGCCTTGTTTTTCAATTGCAAGGTATGTTTTTTTCTCTTGTAACACATATGAGTTAAGCCTATTGGAGTCCTGATACATTTCACTATTTGTTTTTAAAGTGTGAAAAATTGCACACTTGGAGGTTTGCTGCTGGATTTTGGTGGCACTGTCTTGGGGAGAATTCTGGGGAGCATCAAAAAAGGTGGGGTTACCCATCCCAGCAATAAATGAGAAAAGATGGGGTAGGGAAAGAGAATCTCCCTTGGCCAATGGAGAGACAAATAAAATCATGCTTTCAAGAAGTGCTGAACTAACTATGTTCTAATAATCTAGGAGAAGCTGTGGGGTAGACAAGAAGTGGAGTACTTGGATTGCATTTTATTATTATTTTCTTCTTTGATTATAGAAACAGTTATGCTTTTTACAAGGACCACATTATTAAATAGACTAACAAGACCCTGAACCTGTGGCCTGTGATTTTCACAATATGCCACTGGGTTCCTGTACTAATTTTTCCCTAAAATGTTGTCAGCAGGCCCTTCTCAACAGACAAGCTTGGGAGCTCTTAATTTTCATAAAAGCATTGATGAAATGCTACTTCATCAATCATTGGCATTGATTTTGATGATCCTAGCAATACTAGAGAAAAATTCTTCTAAATATTATACATTCAGACTGTGAGAAAAGATACCTGTTTTTCTCAGGGCACCTGCTCTGCCAAAGAGTGAGAAGCAAGAGTAAAAAAGGGAAAGAAGAATTCTAGAGCTGAGCCCACTCAGCCTTCTCAAATTCTCCATCCTTTTTTTGCAGAGAATGTGTGGCCAATTTCTCCCAGGAAAAGAGAAATGTTCCAATAATTTCTCAATAGCAGGACTCTTCCATAAAGGTGACAGTACTACACTTGTGAAAAGCCACATGATGTTTTCCTTGAGAATGAATAGAGATGAGGAAAGATGGAGGACAAAAGAAGGGAGGACTAACACAAAGAGAGAACATTCACTCTCACTCATTTACCTAATTATTCTGTTCCTATAAGAACATCACATCCCACCTGTGAGAATTTCATCAGAGTTCTCTTCTCTTCTGAAAATAATTAAAGAAATGTAATCAAAATGAATTAAAATGGTTTTTTTAAATACAAGAGAATTTTTCTGCATAGCACCATATGAACTTGGTGGATGAAGATAGCTGAGGGCATTCCTGAAACGCATTTCAGTGGATAGAAAGTCCAACCTTCTCCAAAAAACATGACTGTAATAATGATGTAGTAAGGAAAGTAGCATACCCTGTCCAAACCCCAATGACCAGTATTTCTTTCACCTAGTTTTGCTAATCCTTAGATATTCTCTTTCAAAAATTAATTTTAAAAACTCCAAACACATATCAAATTGAGGTGTATATTTCAATATAATATGTGAGAAGTATGGTTGAGCATTGGTGTTGGAGAATTATTCCTCCTCATCCCCCTTTTAATCATCCAATGTTATAATTTTAAGAGGTGGTTGATTAATCTTGTAAATGTAATGGGAAGGAAGATTAGGATAATAGCTATTTGAGGGGGTTCCTCTGTCCTGTAGTGCCAGCTTGTCTTGTGTGTTCTAACAATTGGCTTGCTCTGGGTATTGTCGATTAAGCAATACCACCTACCATGACTCAGGAAATGGGCCTTCTCCATCACAGCAGTTGTCCTTTGGAATGACGTCACCCCAGAAATTTGTACAGGCTTCATCTTAGCTGCCTTTAAACAATCTTTAGAAATTTGGGTGGCTGGGGATTATGGTGTCCCTTGGATATGGGGTTTTTACGTTTATTATTGTTCTTTTAAGTTGTGAAGTTGCCAGAATCTCTTTGGAGTCAGGCAGCCTAAAAATTCAGTAAAAAAATAATGTGCCTCCAGGGAAGGTTGGGTAAACCCCTCTAGTTTTCTCCAGCAAGGCATGTAATACTAGCTTGGCATGGGTTGCAGCAGAATTGCAGTAGAAAGGATGACTGTTTTTTTTCCTAATCAAATGCACGTGGTTGGTTAGAAAAGTTAATAAGGCTCAGAAATTTCTAGTCTAGAGTGTCCCTCCTTGAGTGTTCAAAGGGTTTCTTGGAGTTTCAGATGTTCAGTTTCTGGCTATGAAAAGGAAGCAATGCATTAAGAATCCTCCATGGTTATGTTTTTAATGTTGCATAACGTTCAGCATTTGTGTGGTTTGCTAGAATCCTCAGTGTTTGGGGGAGATGCCCTAGTTCAGTGCACCTGTGCTAGATACAGAAAATTCCAGGACTGGGCTAGGGTGTCTCCAGATACAGCTCAAAATAATCTCATTTCAAACCAGAATGCCTCAATTAGTCAACACAGATGCACCAACAATCCAACTCAATATAAACCAATTTCCAATGTTCTTGCTTAAATCAGCCCTTAGACTCTTAGTCTGTTTTTAAACGAATAGTAGAGCAAATGGTTTACAGTGCCAAAGGTCCTAGATTCAGTTCTCTTTCTGAGATCCTAGAGGCAATGGTGGATAAATGTCTAGAAGTCTGACTTATATGCTGCAGCTCAGGTACAGCATCTTTTCCTCCATTACAGCATATTTTCCCATTTCTATGAATCAATTGCTACAAAAAATCAATCTTGATCTGTGTGAATATCGAACAGCACTGGATTAATATATGTTTGATTCTGAGTTAGTTTTTAAAGAATATTGCTTTTTATCATGCTTACCATAAGTCCCTGCCTGACTAGGATTTTCTCTGTGTTGCACTCCAGCCTGACTGTCCCAGTTAGTTAACAAAGCAGCTCCAGAAAATAGGATTGTGCAAGATCCAATAACATGTCAGACCCCAAAAAGCTTTCAAAAAGCTGTGATACCTGTCTAAAGTGGCACCAAGGCTCATCTCAGGAAGTGTGTACAGACAAACTTCATTTACAGGACCACATGAAGGCAAAGGATGCTGCAGCAATAATTCAGCTTCTGCCTCCAACAGTTCAGCTGCATTAAGATAACTGCAAAGAGAAGATTTTTGTGAGAACGTGTATGTAGAGGTATGTGTTTATACAGTATGTACAATATATGAGGATCAAAAGATTGCTTCATCACCTTATAAAAAGTGTGGAATTTAATCTATCTTACAAAATAAATAGAATAAAAATAGTATAACATTTTACTGATGGTCAAATGCATTAGTTATATAGAGAATGAATGAAATTTGAATCATAAAGAACATGAAGAAACTGTGAATGAACACCAAGGAAGTTGTGGTTGGATGAAGTTGATGAGATTCTCAAAAAGAAGTACCAGAATGATTTGTAAGAATAGAAAAGTAAGGAGAGATACAATAAACGATGCTGGCATAAACTAGGTTTAGTTATACTTAATTTTTTCATCTTGTGCCTTTAATTTCTTCTGGTTTCTATTTCTTACTTTTTGAATGTACTTTTATAATATTGTTTATCCCAAAGGGAATAGTGTGATGGGTATCTATGAGTATACGCGTTTATCATTGATAAATAGATGGATAAGACAATCTTACTATCTGAGAACATGGTTTATTTTAACTATGGCTGGGCCAATTAAGCCATAGTTGCCTATTCACCCATGCTGTAAAGCCATAAGCAATGGTCTGCAAAGCACAACAGCTATTCACACATCATATAAAGCCAAAATTGTATAAGCCACATTATAGCTTTGTGTGATATGTGAACTCATTGTATTGGTTTCCCCTAAACAACCATTTTATTTTAGAAAGTTCCATGGATCATGTAGAAATCCTGCCAAGTAAGCCTCATGACTGAATTACACATTATTTAAATAAGTCACTAATCATGCATACTGAATATACTGAGAATAGGAAGCTCCAAAAAATGAATGAATCAGGCAATCCTGGGGATGAGATCAGCCACTTATTCTTATTTGCTTACAACTGCATATGGAGTAAGAAAGAGGCAATCCCCTGAAGAGTTACTGGGGGGGGGGAAAGGTTTACTAAATTCTGTTCTAGTGCTTAAAACCAGCCAAAGAGTTTGGATGACTCTGAGTTTTTCCTATCCATTGTAAAGTGCCTATGACAGGGTAGAAGCCACTATTCATGTGGCTTCCATCATTCCATATTCTCTATTCATTCAATGCTTATAGGATGACCTGGAGGAAATGAGCGAGGATGCTGGACATGATCAGGTCATCTCTTGTCATATTTCAAGAAGCCTCAGGAGTAAGACAGTAGAGCTGGGGTGATGGGTAAAGCAGTTCATCCAAAGAATTCACAAGTCCCATACACCTTCTCCCTATGGGATGAATGGTGGCTGGATAGCACAAGAGCTTCTCTCTTGGTGAAGAGAGGTCACATTGACTGCCTGTAAGGACCACCCTTTCCAAATCGGGCATCCTGCAGAATGACATCCCCCATGATTTCCATCCATAATAGTTATCTTAATTCACAGTCAAGGAAATCCGGTCCCAAAGGTTCCAGTTGGGGAGGTAAATATATTCTATTTCTTTGTTGCAGATATCCTCACTGACAAGGATTTGTTTTGGGATATAGAAGGCGCTCACTGAACACACAACTGCAAATAGGCAACTGCAAACCTAGCCCATGTGTTTCAGTACATTATGCAAACCCAGAAAACGGACTTGAGGAAACCATGATTTGATTATCCAAGGTCATGCATATAGTGCAAACCAAGCAATATAGGAATTCTTTCCTGCTGCCATGAAAGCTTAAATTGGCCAGAAAGATTGTTGAAGTAATATTTTGATATCACACATGTAACAACTGGCAGATGTTGTTGGGCAATATTACCAGTGATCATGCAGAACTTAATATTTTAGTCTGGCAGCTAATTTCTTCAGATGAATCAGGTATGTCTCTTTCCAGCTCCACCTGGTGATCACACTGCAGACTACACTTCTGAACAACTTCTTCCACATCTTCAATTATGTTAAAGGAAATTTTGAAACCAATACTGACTAGTATTGTCTTGAAGAGAAACAGCTCAATCCTCAACATGTATTTTTCTGTTCATGCCTTCCTATTGCTCCTACTTCCAAATTCTATACTCCACAATGAGGTATTGCTATAATTCTTTCTTCTGCAATGAAAAACTGGCACAGCTACTTCCACAGGGAGTTACTATTATTATGCAATGCGGTGGAGCCGATCTATTCAGCTTTCTCAATCTTGTGCCCTTTAGAACTGGATGGCTGAAGGCCAGTTGGGCTGATGGGGAGTGGAGGGTAGAAGATATGAAGTAGAGAGATGTAGAAATAGACCTGCCTGAGGCAAATAACCATTTCATGTTTTCTGCAAGGTGTGTGTGTGTGTCTGTGTGTGTGTGTGTGTGTGAGAGAGAGAGAGAGAGAGAGAATCACAATATTCTGCATTGAAATGGTTGTCATGTTATCACAAAAATGGAGTGAAAATACGGTTTCTGATATAACCCTCCTTTGACTAGAACTAGAAGGGAGAGATTTGGTAAAGTTATTCCTATTAGGAAATTAGAGCTGTCAGTGGTAATACTTCTCCTCCCTTTACTTCTACCTGTCCTGAGAGTACTGTATTTATCATTGTGAGTCTCTTAATCTCTCTGGAAGTTTTGGGAGGAGATAAATCAGTTTGGGGGATGATTTGGAGGAGCCCTGTTTCACTTTGAATGAAGCCTGAAAGTGAAGGAATAGGGATTCTTCTGCATATAGTGCACATTTTTTAATAAATTCCATTGATGACATCATTGCAGAGAGGGAATAGATGGAAAGTGCCTTACAGAGCCAACTGGCAGGTCCCTTTTTCGGTAGTTATTGTTCCAACCAGAAAGAAGGAGTACAAGAAGCACTGGAGAGAAAGTGCACAACGGATTGAGTTAATTATGTTTTCTTTAGCCAGCTTTCCATTTCTATTGATTTCCAGCAGAAGGGTGACAAAGCAGAGAGCCATTTTGATATAGGGCTTTCTGGACATGAAAATGGTACATTGTATATTTGGATTCAGCATTAAGAAGAATTCAAGTCCTGGTCCAGAAGTCAAGTCTATATTTTTTTTTTAAAAAATGTAATCCAAAACATTTATCTTAAAAATAATTCTAATTAAAACCAAATATTCTTTGATCCATTGTTTTCAGACCAGTCCTGGAATGAAAAGTAGCCAGCATAATTTAGTCATTTTTTAAAAGCAAGTATAAATATTACTAAGCAAAGAGAAGAAAATGCTCATCTGTTCAAATCCATCATCTGAAACAATTTCCTGCCCTTCTATTCTCACGTTTACATCAGAACATGCCCATCATTTTTGTAAGGTAAGAAAAATTGCAAAATGCATATATATACATAAGTTATGAGGCTTCAGGTAATGTTGCCATCTCTTTGAATCTAATGTATTATAACTCACTTATAATTGAGTGTAGGTGTTCCATACTTACACACCTCTTATTACAATGCAATTCCATTTTTATTATACAGTCTGATAGGAAGTTAGGTTCTATGGGGAAAAAGGAATTTCTTATTCTCAGGCCATTGCCTGGAGAATTATGCTAGAAGCTGAACATCTCTCAAAGAGGCTGAACTGGGCAGACGGGAAATCCAATTAGCATTCCAAATTCCCTCCCACCAATGTCAAATTCATGTCCAAAAACTGAACTTCTTGTGCAATAGATAGGCATTTAAAGCAAGGCATTTAAAGCAAGGCCAAGAATTAGCTAATCTGAAATTTTGATTAGAATCAGTAACTTCTAGATGAGAGGTGGGGATAGTAGATGAATGATCTGGCTATCAAGCAAAGAAATGTTTGCTAACAATAGTTCTGCAAACCCATAGCAGGTTTTTGCAAGGGAAGTTTATAGAAAGTGATTGAACTATGTATGAAGAAAGAGGTATTTATTCCATGAACAGCTTGAACTACAGTAGGGCAAAAAAGTATTTAGTCAGCCACCAATTGTGCAAGTTCTCCCACTTAAAAAGATGAGAGAGTCACACTGTCTGATTTTTAAAGAATTTATTTGCAAATCATGGTGGAAAATAAGTATTTGGTCAATATCTTTCCCCCCCATTTTGTCTCTCATAGTTGAGGTATACCTTTCCCCCCCATTTTGTCTCTCATAGTTGAGGTATACCTTTCCCCCCCATTTTGTCTCTCATAGTTGAGGTATACCTTTCCCCCCCATTTTGTCTCTCATAGTTGAGGTATACCTTTCCCCCCCATTTTGTCTCTCATAGTTGAGGTATACCTTTCCCCCCCATTTTGTCTCTCATAGTTGAGGTATACCTTTCCCCCCCATTTTGTCTCTCATAGTTGAGGTATACCTTTCCCCCCCATTTTGTCTCTCATAGTTGAGGTATACCTTTCCCCCCCATTTTGTCTCTCATAGTTGAGGTATACCTTTCCCCCCCATTTTGTCTCTCATAGTTGAGGTATACCTTTCCCCCCCATTTTGTCTCTCATAGTTGAGGTATACCTCTCTCATCTTTTTAAGTGGGAGAACTTGCACAATTGGTGGCTAACTAAATACTTTTTTCCCCCACTGTAATTTACTTTTTCTGTATTGATTCCCTGAGGTGGGGATGGTGATGTGTACTCCTCCATTGAATTGTAATCAACATTAACCATGCTGGTTAGGGATAGTGGGTTCACCAACATCTGGGAACCCATATTATCTATTTCTGTTCTAAATTGAAAATAACCATCCCACTATAGGCCTCCCATGTTATTTGGAGAAACTGACATGTTAAAGAGACAGAGTAAACTGTTAAGATAATTATAATAAGGTTCCTTTAAGGAGTGTGTCACTGGAGTAGTACACATCTCAGGTGAAGGGTGGAACAGAATGTAGCCAGGACGGCGAAGATTGGCTAGCCTGAATATAATAGTAGGCTGCTCCATGGGCAATGTTGTTGGGGGATGATTGGAGAAGAATTACTGTTTAACTGCTGGTACATTGGACTGATTCGTAAGTGTATTGTTTAACCTTGGAATGTTAAATGACCTATTGCTTATGGCCTACACTTGCTCATTGTAATACAAGTCTATTAAACTACAGCTGTATGGACTTGTTATTTACTGCTGTGCATATCTACTGGTTTCTAAGTAGATATTATCTCCAAGTCTATCCCTTGATATAAACACCATTCAAGGCAGTGTTTCTCAACCATAACAGCTTTAAGATGCGTGGACTTCAACTCCCAGAATTCCCCAGCCAGCATCTTAAAGCTGCCAAGGTTGAGAAACACTGATTCAAGGTATGGTTTACAGCACCAATTGCTAGAAGCTCTTCAAATGCCAGTTAAGAACAGGTCATCGATATATATAAACATATCTTCTGGATTAGTTAGTTACGTAATCCTCTGACCACAAGCAAAGCCTCTTATTCTGGAGCACCACAGAAGCAAAAACCCAAAAGGTACAGAACTAGTGAAATCATATCATTGATATATTTGAAGAAGCTGGGTCAGGCAGAAAGTAAAATTACATCAATATGTCAGGCTAGGAACAATTGTCACCACCTGAGCTGTTCTGATAACATGCAACAATATCAAATGCTAATTAAATGGGCAAAGCAAGTGTGAGACTTAATTGTCTCATATACCATATAATCTGCATCAGTATAAATTACTATCCTAATTAGTTGGGGAAATAAATACATAAATAAAACAGCAAAGGCTTTTAAAAAATATTCTCCCATTTGCAATTTATATTAATCTTCTACGAACTTTTGGCCTCCTGTATGTTTGGTATGTAAGATTAAAAATGATTTTTTTCTTATGTAGAAGCAACATGATATGAGAAACAATAAAAAGCACATATAGGTCACTATTTATCACATGTGGCAATAATATTGGCAACTAATCTATCGCTGTCCATACACTACAACTACCTGCAGAAAAAATGTTTCTGCAATTGCCATACAGGATGATCTACAATCAATTTTAATTTCACTTCCAAGCCAGTATTGTCTGATGTATTATCAACATGTTATGTTTAAAACAACCTCAGTTCTATGAAAGTTTCTAACCTGATTTTGTCTGCTCAATCAAATATTTAAAACACTGTGTAGTTTTCAAAACAAAATTACATTCATTATCTTTTTTTTTGGTAACTAATATATGCCAACCATATGATAATACGATCAGTAGATCCTCACTGCAGAGAACAGTTCTTTATTTGAATATAATGGAGTTTGTTTTTCAATCTGTTATGCATTAAATATATTTGCTTTTATTACATGAATTAATATTTTGGCAGATACTAAATACAGTCATCACTTTATAGACTGATACTGTACATCATCATCCTACATAGAACATGCCCTTTCACAAGTATACAAATGACTTGGCCTTACATTTTTGGCAGTTGGCTGAGACACAACCTCAGTCTGTCAGTACACTGGAAACACCACCTAGTTAGTGGGGTGAGAGCAACAGTATACCGGTAGTCCTTGGTTAATGACTGCCTCATTCAGCAACCGTTCAAACTTTCAACGGCACTGAAAATAGATTTATGACTGCTCCTCAAACTTATGGCTGTTGCAGGATCCCTGTGGTCATACGATCATCATTTCCAACCTTTACAGCCAGCTTCTAACAAGCAAAGTCAGTGGGGAAGCCAGCAGGAAGTTACAAGTTGTGGTCATGTCACGTCATGCTTAATGACTATGGGTGATTCACTTCACGAACGCATCCGGAACTGTTGTCATAAATTGGGTGTGGTCACATATTTCACTTTACGACCGTGTTGCTTAGCGAGTTGCTGGTCCCAATTGTGGTCATTAAGCAAGGACTATTTGTATTGGCTTGCAAGGTAGTCTCTAGATAAGCAATTCTGGCTTGCACAGAATAGCGTGAACTTGTTTGTGGTAAAAATGGGCTTTGATTCACTAGTGGATTATTAGCCAAAGATGCCAGAACTGACCTGTCCTGTCCTTACATTATCAGGAAATGTTGCATGTGGCACAGATACAGCTAAGTTACAAGCTTGGTAAACCAGTCTACTGCTTCTGTATCTTACTAAGCTTTGGGTGCTCTACCAATTCTGCATCTCACCAGACTTCAGCTGGTGTACCAACTGCAACCCTCTCTGATGCAGAGGGAGATAACTAGTGATTCATGCCCTTATCACCATCAAATTGGATTCCTGCAAGACATTTTACATGGGGTTGCCCTTGAAGAATATTCAGAAACTACAACCAATGCAAGACCTACAGAGTATGTTCCCAATGCCAGTAAGTACATGGGTTGCTGAATTCTGGATCATGCTGCATATGTAAATAAGGAATCCATTAGTTGGTGATAGTTGCGTGTAATGCTCCAGTGGATTGTAGTAATGGATGAAACAGATCAGTTTTGGGGAAATTGTACAACATTCTGAATGAATGAAATCCTGTATAAATATGAAGGAATAAGATGAAAAAGTACAAAAAAGTGACTTGGCCATTCTGAGATCAAAGAATGAGTTAGAATGGTGACTGGTGAGTATTTGCTTAGAAAAGACATATGTCAGTTTCAGGTACATGGCCTAAGTGTAAGCCTATTCATGGGTACGCATGGCAAAGGAATGAATATAAATTGAAAGCTTGATTAATTTGAAGGTATATGTGGAACCCTGAAAGAATTAGTGAAGGATACAAGGATGATGAGGTGGTCTGAATGTGAAACAGACAAGTCTTAAGAATGGATTTGCAGGGGAAATGGACATGGAAGAAAAGAAGTGAAAAAATGAGAGTGAAGCCAAATGACTGTAAGAAGTGAAAGTATGTATGAAAAAATATATCAAATAGATTAATCTTCCAAGAAAATGAATGGAAAGCAGATGTGAGAGAAGAAAACTTCCTGGAATGGAGCAAAAAAATTGTTGGGCCACAGAAGTGTGTGGATGTACAGACTCCTCTTTTGAATAATGGGATGAAAGAGGCTGTGGATGAGGGGAAAAAACTCATACAGTATAAGAGAATGATTGCTGTAAAAAAAGAGAATGAAAGATATAGTATATGCACAGAAATAGTTGCAAAAAATGTAGTCAAAATTAAAAGCACAGAACATGTTTAACATGAGTGTGAACTGCATGTGTCTGATAACTGGAATAATACCATTAATGTTTCCCTACAGAACAGAAAAGACACCAAAATTGGATGCAAAAGCAACTGTAAGATTAATTTGATAGACGTTCCTGGAAAGCATTTGGCAGAATTCTGATTGAAAGGGTATAGGAAATAGCAATCATCAAAGTTTGGAAGAACAATCTGCTTTACGTTGGACTGGTGTGGCATTCAAATTTTTGCTGTTCAGCAAAACACTGTATGAATGAGAAAAAGTGCATGGTACATTTGTTGATTTAGAGAAAGTATATTTAAAATAAACAAACTTGGATTATGAAATGTTTCAAGTTAATATGGAGTTGAAGATTGGTTGCAAAATGTGGTAAGAGCTATATGGAAGTAAAGCATGTATGAGAATGAAATGCTTAGCAAATGGTTCAATATTGAATTAAGAGTAAGACAATATGGGGTTTCCCTTTGATAGTTTAATGTAATTATGAACAAATGTATAAGAAATGCTTATGACATTAAGTTTTATTTATATTTCAGTATGCTGTCAGCTAAGAACTCAAAATAATTTACAGCAAAGTTTAGATAGATTTTATGATGCAATGAGGAGTATGGGTCTGACAACGTATCAAAGACCAAGGTAGTTGTGATTGACAGGGAAAATGGAGTGAACAATTGCAAGTTATACATAAAACACTAGAGCAAGTAGATGAAGATATGTACTTCTGATAGACTGCTTATTAAAGGTAGGGGAACAGATGAAGAAATGTTAACATGTGGAAATGCTAGTAGAAAAGTACTAGGTAGTATATAGTCTTTTGTGAGGAACGTTTGTCAAAAGAAGCAAAAATGACTGTGTACAAGTGTGCTTCTGCCCACTGTTTTTCATGGAAGTGAGAGTTTGGAAGAATGAATGTTTATTATTTAATAGCCCGTTTTGTTGATTTTGTGATTTATTAGATCATTTCTGTCTGTGATGTCTGTTTAATGTTTTTAACTGTTTTTATGGGGTTTTTTTCTAGTTTTTACATTGCCCAAAGTCCACTGGAGTTGGGCGGCCAATAAATTTAAATAATAATGATAGCAATAACAACAATAATAAATAGGCCAAGAAGGGGAAGACCAAGAAAGTCATGGTTGGATGGAGATGATGAAATCTTCAAAGACATCTGGGAAGTTTAAAACACAAGGCAATGTATGAAGCAGTGTATGGATGTGGTAGAAGAAAGAATGATTTGCAAGGATAGAAAGGTACAGTGAATGACATTGATGTAAATTAGTTTTAGCTATGTTTCCTTTTCTTTTTACCTCATGCATTTAATTCTTCTGACTTTTTGTTCCTAACTCCTTTTCTGTGTCCTTCATAACAGTGTTTATTCCATTAGGGAATAACATGATGGGTATGTATGTATACTATCTGAGTCAGAAAAATGAGATCACCAGTTTATCACTTGTACTTGAAATAAAACATTCAGAGATTTGAAAATGAGGATTAATGCCCCTACAAGTTACGTTTGTGTATGTACATACAAACACAGATATACAAATCCAGTGTTCTTGGCAGAACTACATCCAGGTTTTCAGTGTGAAGAACCTTTCCCTGTGTTTCTGAGGGGTTTTTTTGGGGTGTCTACAGGAATGGGCAAGAAAAAATAAATTGATGGAATCTTGCAAAAGGGTTTGCCACTCATATTATTCAGAATACTCTGATACTCAAGAGACTTGTTTTTTCATCCTATTCTTCTCTTGGTCTACCTCTGCATTAACATCTGCAAAATGTATTCAGTGGTTTGGTATAGTTTAAACAGGCTGGGATTAAAACTCCCACATTCCAATGAGTTGCAATCACAGTGCATCTGGACAAATGTCAGTAGAGAAAAGTAGCCTTACAATTAATCCTATCAATACAAGAGAATATGTGTAGCTCAGGGTTGAACTGTGGAGTCCTTGGTGTTCTCTGAGTGACCAGACATACAATCAAGCAGTAAACAATACCCTAATCAAGGAACTACCAGAGGGAAAAAAAACAAAACAAAACCCACACCAACACTGGCAGG